TCCCCCCCCCCCCCTCCCTCTCTCTCTCTCTCTCTCTCTCTCTGGTTTTAGGCAGTAAAAAGAATGTTATCTGAAGGGGTCTGAATATCATTCTTTTGGGTGGACTTGTTTTCCTTATAATCACGATTTAATGGAGCTTTGAGCTTTCTATTTTGGATCCACCATCTTAGAAACGAAAATGACCAAGGATCCACTTTTTCAAAAGAGGTTCATAGTTTTTGAGGGGAAAGTTTACTTGTGTTCTCATTGGATCTAGTTTCTGAGAGGAAGTTCACTTGGTGTTCATAAGGTTTAGTTTTTTATGAGAAGGGAGTCGTATATCTCTCCCCTTGTAGTTTTCTCTCTTTCCTGGCTTTCTCCACTCTTTCCTAGTTCTGCATTGTATTATCAGTACTTTCACATACAGATAATGGCAGCTATATATTTCATTGTTATTCTTTCATTTACCTTGTTATGTTACCATTGTTATTAGATAATTTGACGTTTGTGAAACTTAAGTGCTATTAGGTTCACACCAACAATCGCCCAGGTGAGGATTGAGGGATTTAGTCATAGCAAAATCAGTCTCACCACTAGTTTAATTGGTTTGACTGAATTTTGAAATATAAAAAAATATAAACAATATTAAATATATATAGATAATAGTTAAAAAATATGTAATGTATTATAAAAAGTGTTGCACACTTTGTTTGGCCAATTGAACCAGCTAAAATCTGTTAAATATTGTTTTGATTTATTTTTTATCAAATCATGTTCTTGCCCTAGACTAGACCAGCAAATGTATTGGTTAGTCATCCGACCATTTGGACTAATGGTTTAGTCTTGTCTTGGTAACTATGCTTATAATCTTAGACTAGTTTTTAAACAAGGGTTTCGATTGTATTAGCCACCCTATATATCCAAAAGATTACATGCTCATGAAGAACATGCTATGCATGTGCCCCTCATGCAAAACCCAATCGAATGATATTTTTAGGATCCAAGCTTTGTTAATATGATAT